GGCACAGCCCACGGGCTGCCAGGCTGGGGACGGCTCAGGGACACGGGGATCCCTGTGGGAATGGCTGGAGACCTTTGTCCTGTGGTTTGGGGTCTCCTGAGTGCCGTGAGCCGGCGGGATGAGGGTGTTTGATGCAGGGAACGGGTGCTGGAGGTGTGACGGGTTTCCCTCCTGCTCCAACCTGTGTTCTGCCAAGCAGAGGCTGAGACCTCTCCTGCCCATGAGACCCCCACGTTCAGGGGGTCCCCTTCACTTGCAGAGAGTCCCCTTCACTTGAAGAGGGTCCCTTTCACTTGCAGAGGGTCCCCTTCTCTTTCAGGGGGTCCCCTTCGCTTGCAGGAGGTCCCCTCCACCTCAGAGGGAGGATGTGACACAAACAGGGAAGGGACAAGTGGCAGCAATGTGGCAGCATCCTCGAAGAAACCCCTTGGGGGGGTTTACAGCATCTGGAGGGGGGGTTGATCAGCAGAGACCCCCCCCCAGAACGACCCACGTGCCACCTCCTGCTGCGGGTGCACAGGGAGCGAGTGGGAGGAGGACGTGACCAGAGCCCAAACCAACCTGGAAGTTTCTCAATCCAACACTCTGGGCTTGTCCCCAACGTGTCCGTACAGGGATCGCTGCCGGGCCACCCCCACGGCTCCTCTGGCCCCTCCAGGAGCAGCAAAACACCTTCCCCCCTGGGCTGGGGTTTTTTGGTTTTTTTTGGGGGAAGCCAAGCCGCCTCGAGCCACCGGGAAAACCAACCCCACGTCCCCCGGCTGGCCTGCCCGGCTCTCTCACGTCTCCCAAATCCCTCACATATGGTTTCTATATCACTTGGCTCCGCCGGCGCTTGCTCGGCTGTAAGCGAGCTTACTTTCCCTTGTCTTTCCATGCAGCTCTTGGCACGGGACGCTCGTCCCTCTCCCCGGCCCTGGTCCTCCCCCGCGCTGCCCGTTCGGACACGTCTCTCCCGGCCCCGGGGAGGGTGCGGGGAGGCCGGGCCCGGCTCCTGCCTCTGCTCTGCCCTCAAATTGCAGCCTGGCCGTGCCAGCCGCAGGTCGCTGCCAGGGGAGGTGCCGGCCCCGGCTTGTTTGCTCTTCCCTCGGCGCTGCCGCAGGTCTGCTCTCCACCCTGGAGCTTCCCCCGATGGGATTCACCCCCCGGGTCAGCGCTGGGGACGGACCCAAAACGTGGCTTTTCCACCGACGTGGGGTCTGGGCTCGGTGCCACGCCAAGGGATGGGATCCAGCCCGTTCCTCTGATCCCGTGGCTGCTCCTCTCACCCCGGGCCGGTTGTTTTGGACCTCTCAGCGTTATCCCGATTGTCCCGCCTTGTCTTGATAATTAGTGGCTCTTTTGGGATCCATTTGCTAATTGCTTGGAGCGCGACCTTGGCAGCGCTCGCCCTCGTGCCCTGAGCTGCTCCAGCCACCCCACTCCCCATCTCCGCCCCTC